GGGCAGAGATGATGGAGAAGGTCAACATCAGCAGCTGAAACTGGCCAGGGATCCACGATGGAACGGACAATCAATTGCTCATTTGGAAGCTCGCTGTCAATGGCCTCCAAACTCCTGCGCGCGGTCATCCTCGGGCCGCCTGGCTCCGGAAAGGGCACCGTGTCCCAGAGGATCGCCCAGAACTTCGGCCTCCAGCATCTCTCCAGCGGCCACTTCTTGCGGGAGAACATCAAGGCAAACACGGAGGTTGGTGACATGGCAAAGCAGTACATCAGGAAAGGTCTTTTGGTTCCTGACCATGTGATCACACGCCTAATGGTGTCGGAGCTGGAGAACAGGAGCGGCCAGCACTGGCTACTGGATGGTTTCCCTAGGACTTTAGTACAGGCCGAAGCCCTGGACAGAATCTGTGAGCTGGATCTAGTGATCACACTGAACATTCCATTTGAAACGCTCAAAGACCGTCTCAGCCAGCATTGGGTTCACCCTCCCAGTGGAAGGGTGTATAACCTGGACTTCAACCCACCTCACGCACATGGCATTGATGATATCACTGGCGAACCATTGGTCCAGCAGGAAGATGATAAACCCAAAGCAGTTGCTGCCAGGCTAAGGCAGTACAAGGATATGGCTAAGCCAGTCATTGATCTATACAAGAGCCAGGGAGTGCTCTACCAATTTTCTGGGACGGAGACGAACAAAATCTGGCCCTATGTGTACACACTCTTCTCGAACAAGATCACATCTATTGAATCCAGAGAAGCCTACTGAGCCTGCCCGATGGGAGAACCAGGAAAAGGTGATCATTCATTCATTCAAGTGTGTGTGTGAAGTCTTGGTGCCATGTCCAAATGAGAAGCTCGCCCCTACAGCTCGCAGTGTCTTTCCCAGTTTCTGTGGGGCACTGGCATATGCAAACTCAGGAGTAAACCGAGGCGCCCCCCCTTTGCCTTCCTGAAGGAGGCACACCTGCCCACGTTGAAGATGCCTTTGCACAGGTCTCAAGCCCTTTGTGAAGAATCAGGTGCAGATGGAATTTCAAACGCTGTATGATCTAATTCTTGCCAATTTTGCCAGCCAGGTTGTCGCTCTAGTAGCATACTTGGTGGTGGTGGCCACTGGCTCTGTCCCTCAAAGGCTGTGAAACTACAGCACCAGCAGGCCTGAGAATGCCAACAACTACAGCCCAGGCTTTGTCCCTGGTATGTGCTCTGCTGGTCACAGTGGGATCGAAGCCAAATGCTCTCAAAGGTTGCTTCTCTGGTCTGGAGTGAATGGGCCCACCGTTCATATTTTTCTGGCTGGACTGACACCTTTTTTCGGTATCCATGCTGCACGGAGTCGCCCCTTTGCAGACCTCCTGGAATGAAATGATTTGGCTTTCACTAATTTTATTAGGCGGCATTATTTGTACATCTCTTTGATCTCTTCTGAGATGAATACTGACTGTTTTTGCTTTGGTCCCTCTCAAATCTCCTTTTCTAAGAGCTGAGAGCAGGGAGACCACAGAGCTCTCTTCCCGTTCCAAGAACTGAACTATGCAGAGGATCTAAAGCGACTGCTTGGATTCTCATGCATTGACATGGCTCCTTTTATTGTGGGGGGGGGGGAGAATAAATAAAAGCTTCCAAAGTCTCATCGAAAATCTTCAAAAAACACCAATATTAAAAGATCCTAGCTCATATATGAAATAATAAGATCCTATGAAATTACTGGACTAACAGACTGTTTAGCTTTTTTACTCGAGACCATAAAATTTTGTTTTGAAAATGCTGCTAAATATGGATGCCGACAGTGTTTTCCTCCTGCAAGTGACCCAAGCATGTTATAAGTAGTCAGCAAAGGGCAGGGGGCCTGTGGGGGCCGATGAAAATGTTACACACGCTGTGCCCGATTGAGCTTTATGATTAAGGGAAACAAAATTATATATATATATATTTCTTTTCCAAAGATGCATTCTATGGGGTGACCATAAAGTCTAGAAATAGAGATAACACTATTCTGTTGCACGTGGTGATGTCATATTCCAATAAACAATTGATTGAGTTGTAAAAAAAAAAAAGATAGGAAAGAAATAAAAGATAAAAGTGGATGTCAGAAAAGACTCTGATACTTGCTCTTCATCAAAGAGTAGCTAAGAGAAGTAGAAGAACTAGTGGAGCTAAGGGAAATAGAAGAAATAATGGAGTCAAAAAGCTGAACAGCAAATGTCAAAGGGCACATTAAGAAGACAAAGTAGATTATTATCATAATGAAATGTACAAAGACAAAAAAGGCACAAAACCAAAAAGGAAGAGCACACATAGCATATCTTAAACTGAAAGAACTAAATAAAAAAGTCCAGGCTCAACTTGGACTATTAAAATAGTCTATACACAAACATTGAATGATTCAGGAGGCATTGAAAGAAAATGGAAAGAATACACAGAGTCACTGTACCAAAAAGAACTAGTTGATATTCTACCATTTCAAGAGGTAGCTGTGATGGTTAAGGATCATATCAACTAGACACTCCCAGGTACAGGAAGGGGTGGAGCCCAATCAAATCTGAAGACATGCTCTCTGGATGTGTGTTTGTTCATTTGTTTTTGTTTTTGTTTCATTTTGTTTTGTTTTTGGTATAAGAAAGAGAGAAGAGACCTAGCCGAGTCAATTTCTCTTTTGGTCCTTCAACTTCTGCTGGAGCTGGATCTTGCATCATGTCCCTTGATCTCCTGTTAACATTGCCTGCCAATTCTAGGAGTCATCATAGGACTTTGGATTCATTTGCCTTTTCATCTGCCAGCCTGCCACATCTGTTTCATCATTCTGCTTCCATTTCATCAGATTCCAAGAGTCAGGAGAAGTCTAACTTGAACTGGACTGGATTTGGCTACTTCTACAACTGTATGAGCCATTTCTTAATATAAATATCTTTCGACATACAAAGACATACAAGTGTCACTGGTTTTGCTTCCCTAGAGAATACAACCTAACACAGTAGCATATGAACAACAATCAATGATGCTGAAGGAAGGCGTTATTAAAGCACTAGCAAAAGAAAGGCTCTAGGAATGATGGAATGGAATGCCAATTGAAATGTTTCAACAAGCTGAGGAAGCAATGGAAGCAGTCTGCAGCAGGAAATCTGGAAGACTTGAGTGGAAGATATTCAAAGAAAAGTGACCAAAAAGAATGCTCAAATTATAGAATAATACCCTTAATA